GCAGAACTCACCTGCAGTCTCAGAAACTCAAAGGGTAACTTTCACATGTTTTCATTTTACTTGCAAACCTTGAGACATGACTCTTAAACCATATTTTCATTACATCCACATAGGCAGTGGTTTTCAGTTAATCTTTAATTTTCTTCATGTGAATGAGCTCTTGTCTTCCTCTTGATCTTTCCCAAAAAGAGAATTCTTTATCAGAAGCCACGCAACATCCCACATGAGGGAAATAGTAACATTTCTGAAGAATTTTTAATTACATGGGAAGTTTTTTATGTAATACTCAACAGTCAAAGCTAGATTTGAAGTTGTGCGTGTCATGTAATCTCAGCTATTTAAAGGAAAAATGCATAGAATGAAGATATCATTTGTAAAACTTGTTTTGTAAAACTCATAATTGTTCCCCCAATATTTGTTTTTTTAATCTAAGAGTTTGTTGCTTTTAGTAGAGCTACTAGACCCTTTCTTATAAAAGGAGAAATTATATACTGTTGGACCAAATGGTGGCAGAAGAAAGCATTAGAGGTGGTCTAGCACTAACTCCACGATTCTCACTCTGTTGGTTTGTCCCCACAGTTCCAAGCAGCGGCACCAATGGGCTCAGCATCCCAGCAGACTGCACAGGAACAGCGACATCGACATCGCCTGACAACCCCACACAGAGAAGTCCGCCTGATGAGGCGCCAGCACCTGAGGTTCGTCTTGCCAGGGCAGGGAGCACACCTCACAGGAGACTTCTCAGGCTTTGCCGAGCACATAGCCTATTACCTGCTCTGAGCAGTGCCAGTTTGTTCTGTGTTCAAGCTTTCTGGGTTTGCTCAGCAGTATCAGTGCTGACGAACGCCAAGAGAGGGGAGGGGTGTCTTCATGGTTCTGAGAGAAAGATGCTGTGAGCAAAGCTCTGCTATAGAGTCCTGTGTTGCCCGAATCCAGCATGTCATTTCCACATGTCCTGGGGCAGCGTTTCTGCTAGTTGGCACACTAACCTTTTAGCCTTGGGGAGCCACTGGGACCGGAGGGATGGCTTTCATTAATGAGATCCTTGCACCATTTTGTGGGAACAAATGTCTTCCCTCCCTGTTTTCATACCCCAGCGACTCTGGGGATTCGTACACGTGTGCTCTTTTAAATGCCTGGGGAGTCAGCTCAGAAATTGTTTGTTTTTAAAAGACATCCTTTATAGTTCTGGAATTATATAGGCCAGAAGCATCTGTTTTCCAGTAGTGCTGCAGAGCAGCTGGGAAACGGGCATTTCATGAAGCACCTGCTCTTGGGGTTGACAGAGACAGATTTGGAATCCAAATTGCAATACTGCACCCTGCCTCAGACACAAGCCAAACTGCGTCTGTGTGCCTTTGCCCTCGGCCACTTCAGCAGATAAGTTGCTGCCAGAGGTTCTCTATCCTCTGCCTCCCTCACCCTTACCCTCACCCCCCATAGGTGTTCAGGCTTAAATGGTGAAAATGATCATCTACAATTCTATTTTGAAACATCTATGAGGTCCCCCCACCTTCAACCCACTTCATGGAATTGGAAATAGAAATTGTTTTTGTAACATATGCTTCATGGAACTTTGGTAGTTGGGTCTCAGGGCAGTCAGCTGCACATCTCTGCACCAGAGGCAGACCAAAAGTGACCCCACTGTCCTGTCCTCCCCATGTTCCTGGCTGCCTCACTCTTCCAATTGGTTCTAGCCCCTCCTCAGATGTTCCTCAGCCCAGGGACCCTCGTCAAGGGACATGCCATTATGCTATAAGATGATTCAGCTTGCTCATCAGGGCTAATGTGTCCCTTCTTTTCAGTTGTCGTTGTTCTGTTTAACTAGGAGAAAGAGCCCCAGAAAAATGAGTCTAGCAGTACTTCTGAGGAGGACAGCTGTGAGAAAAAAGAGCAAGTTGCACAGCAAGCGTTTGTATTTGGGCAGAACTTGAGGGACAGAGTTAAGGTATGTACTCAGGGGGCTGGGGGAACCGTTGAACTCAGGGATTGATCTCTGTATGCCTCCCGTCAGGTTCGAGAACAGGAATTGTTTCTGAAGGGTGGGGCAGACACAGAGGCTGTGTTGTGAAGTGGTCCTGTGACTCTCAGCACGGCCGGCAGCTGCTTGTTGTGCATGTTTCCCATACTCTGCTGCTCAGCCAGGCTGCCTGCCATCCCTCCATCCTCAGTGGGACTCAGCGGTGGCTCCTGGCTACAGGGGACAAAGGGACAACCAGTGCGAGGTTTTTGTTTTCTTCAGGGTTTTTTATCTCAACGCTAGCAGCATTCAGACCAGATTGTGTTTAGTTGTTGGAAGCATCCCTGTGGGTTGCTCACCACTGTGGGTTGTTGAGCAGCATCCCTGGTCCCCACCTTCTAGATACCCGCTCCGTTGTGACAACCACACATGCCCCCAAGTAGTGCTGAATGTTCCCCACGGGACCAGATTGATCCCGACAGAACCATCATCTTATTTTCAAAAGTAGGGCAGGTGGAAAGATTGTTCTCTCTCCCACAGGAGCAACACTATCTGCCACCTCGGGTGGGTCCTGCCCGCAGGCAGGTGGGTCCAGTCTGGGGACTGAGTTGGGGTGGGGGCATCTGCCAGTGGCAGGGGTCTCAGCTCTGCATTCTCTGTGCGAGCACTCCAGAAAGACTAGAGTGAGCAGCACTACATTTTGCAGCCACAGATACGGAATGTTCTTCTGTGCCATTTCCAGCAGCTCACCTGGCAGGAATCTCCTTTAGAGGACTGAGAGGCAGTGTCAGTGGCCATGTCTGGGGACATCTGTGGTTGTCACACTAGGGCGTAGGTACTCCTGGCATCGAGTGGGTAGGGGCCGGGGATGCTGCTCAATACCCCACAGTGCCCAGGACGATCCAGCCCCAGTGTCAATGATGCTGAGGATGAGAGACTCGGAAATAGGAAACAAAAGTCACCACATAGAAAACATGCCACCTGTGTTCTCCTGTGGTGTCACTGTCCAAGAGAAGCCCAGATGCCCTACGAGACAAAAATAAGTGTTGATGTCACATGACTTTAGCCAAATAATGCGTTCCTTGGGGACTGCTCCCTCCAGGAAGAGGAAAGTGAAGGAACAGCCTTGAAATCTACCAGCCCTGGGGGCGGTGTCTGGCCATCCATCTAGTTGAGTCTGCTCCTCAAGTTCAGGGCAATGCTACATTGACATGGGGGCAGGGGCAGTGTCTCCTAGAGACCCAGGTCTCATGTGGTCTCTGAGGTCTTGGTCACATCCCACCTTCTCCACAGAGGGTGACTCCAGGCCATGGTCTCCTAGCTCCTCTGAGCTCCAGCTTCCTCGCTCACAGGACCAAGTCCGTCCTTCCACCCCTCAGGGTACCCAGGAGTAGTGCGTTAGGTCACATATATGATGGAGCAGACAGGGCAGCTGGCATCAATGAAGCCCTCAAACAACAGTGCTTTATGTTCTTAATAAACCCCTTAAAACACCAGATTTATAAGTGTTCTGTGATCTCTGAACAGAAGTGATGAAAATGCTAACTAGATGCCAACCTGAGTGCATTTTTTATTTTATTTTTTTTAAACAAGGTAGAAAAAGTCCACTAACATTTTATGAATTGTTTTTGTACCTTAACTGTTAAAAGCAAAAAGTTCTGGAATTGATTACAGCGCCAGCACTCAGTGCTCACTCACAAACCCCTGCATGCACATTGGTAGGATTTGCATGTTGAGCTGTGCCACACGGCGGAGGGATTGTGCAGCCAGGCCAAGCTGTAGAGGTCCAGAATGTGTGTGCTCTGAGTATAGTGTTTCTATTTCCCAGTTAATAAATGAAAACACTGAAGCAGCTGACATGGAAAATGCCGGACACCCCAGTTCAGAAACGCCAACTGCGACCAACTATTTTCTTCAATATATCAGCTCCAGGTATGTGTGTGAGGCCCTGTGTCCAACCCAGAGGCGCTCAGGTCACTCATCCACCTTGTCTGTGGCCCAGAGAGGAGGCAGAACCCAGACCAGGAGCCAGCCTGGTCCTTCCCTGGGGGGCAGGATGGAGGGGAGGGAGCAGAATCCTCCAGAATTCCAGTTGCTCCCTAGTCCCTTCCTTCTTTCCCACTTGGCACAGCTGTGGAAGGGCCAGGACAGTGGACTTTGATGGACAACTTTGAGGCAGGACCTGAGTTCTGTGGGGTTGTCCAGCCCAGCTCTCAGAGTGACTTCTATCACCAGGACCTTGTGCCCAGAACAGAACCCAGTGGGCCGATGGCAGCTCAGCTGCCTCTTGTTACCCACCAGGTTCTGCCCCTGAATTCACAGTCCATCTTCTCTTCAGTTTAGAGAACTCGACCAATAGTGCCGATGCCACCAGCAACAAATTTGTATTTGGCCAGAACATGAGCGAGCGCGTATTGGTGAGTGGCCCCTATGGGGACTGTTCTTCCTGGGGCCCAGAAGGTTTTTAGAACTCCCCAGCCCAGGTCAAAGGGATGTGAGTGTGGCTGCCGCGTTGTCTCTTGGAAAATTCAGATGATTTCAGTTGCAAGTAAGAAAGAAGACTCAGCTTAAAGTCAGAGGCAGGGTTATTAGCTCTCCAGGAGCCAGTGTTCCATTTCCAGTCTTTCCTCTCTAAGGTTTCCTGAGGCACAGGCCATGCTTTCCTGGTGAAGTCTGGCTACAGGTACAGCCATCAGACCAGTCCTTAGCCGCATGCTGCTGGGGCCCCCCAGAGCCACTTCTGGAGCCAACGATGGTCCTCACACCTGTCAGTGAGGCTGCGGCACAAAGAGGGGGGTGGTGGGTACAGGTGTGGTGGCCTCAGAGAGACCCTGTGTCCCATGTACTCCCGACACATCACAGCCAAGGTTGGGTTCTGGAATTGTTTACATGCTTCCTTTCTTCATCCCTTTTTTTCCCCTGATCAAAGGGCACAGCCGCTCTGTGTCCATTGTCAGTGTGGCCACAGAGCTGTTTTGGGTCCAACCAATTCTGTCCATGTTTGTCTCAGAATACATTACATTAAAAAGCCCTCTGCTTTTTTCTCAAGCATTAGTACTGTCCATTTCCTGCTAAAATGAAATAGTCAAAGAACTGCCTCACACAGAGGTGAACTCTGCAGCCCAAAGTAATGTCAGCTGGTGGCACACGCCTCCCGGCAGTGCCATGAGCGGCCCCATTGGGGGGCTCCAAGGGCAGTTCATGCATGATGCCCCTTTTGTGTTAGGTTTTAACACCAAATGATGCTTGAAGATTGTTGTGTGGTTTTGGGGATGGGGGTGTGGTGAGTATGGCTGGGACATAGCCCGTGGGGAAGGGCTATGAAGTCTGTCTGCCAGGTCTGGGAGGGTCCCCAAAGCTGCAGAGGAGGAGCTGTGGGCAGAAAGCAGCCCTCTACCCAGCAGGGAAGTTCTGAGAGCTGCTGCTGGGCCAAGGGACTTACTGTTCCATAGTGGTTGACCCACCAGGATCGCCCAAATGCCTTTCCCATGTGCCTTTGTTTCCCTGCAGAGTCCACCCAAATTAAATGAGGTCACTTCAGATGCCAACAGGGAGAACTCAGCTGTCGAGTCTGGGTCCGAGTCTTCATCCCAGGAGGCCACCCCTGAGAAAGGTACATCGCAACACTATTGCCTCATAGGAGGGGGTACCAAGTGAGAGGACACTGTCCATCCACGCACCAGCCAGTGGGGGATGTGGGGATCAACTCAACATAGCAGTAATAACCTCATGAACCAGCCACTGGGATAGAGCCAGAAAGCCATGGGCACTGGTTTTCAGTGAACAAAAAGGGGACATGTTCATCTATAAACAGTTAGGCCCAGGCCCGTGGTGCTATAGGGTGACTTGGGGATAGAGTGGTTGAGATGGTTGTAGCCCTCTCCCTTCACACCCTGAAGCAGCAGAGGCAGTTTTCTGCCATGCCCTCTTCGAGGTCTGCCCCCTACTGAATGGGAAATGGGAAACCCATAGCCATGCCAGCAGCTCCCAGCCGGCCTCCCTTACAGATCCCGAGGCTGAACTACTTGGCATATTTTGGGGTCCACTCCATGTCTCATGGGTAGCTGGTACCCTTGAGACCAAGCCAACCCTTTGCCTCCTGTGCAGTACACTCTCCCCCAACCTAGTAAATAGTAGTCAGTGTCATTTAGCTAATAACATTGCAGAGTCCCTGGCCGAATCGGCAGCTGCCTACACCAAGGCAACAGCGCGGAAGTGTTTGTTGGAAAAAGTGGAAGTTATCACCGGGGAGGAGGCAGAGAGCAACGTGTTACAGGTAAGGTGGGCCTCTTGGCCCTTAGGTGGAATGTGATGGCCTGAAGTTTCTTTGTGCATTTGAGGGTCCAGCCCCCAAGGGGTCAACCCACATTCTCCAAGCACATCAGGGAGAGACTTCCCCTGGAAGTGACAGAGAGGCCTGAGTAGCACCTTTAGGATCTTGTTGGTGGGGCTTTTGTTGAAAGTTTAACCAACTCTAAGAGTCTTCTTATGTTGCTTTGTTTTACAACGAAAGAATTCTGTTTTGAAACATTCTCGTAGTTTAGGGCAGTGGTCGGCAAACTGCAGCTCGCGAGCCACATGTGGCTCGCGAGCCGCAGTTTGCTGACCACTGGTTTAGGGAATTACACGACTGCTGTAACTTTTCTTACTATCCAGAGTTATAGCTGTAGTTATTTTGTCACACTGGCACCTTGTCTTGTTTTATTAGAGGGGAAAAAATCACAGATGCAGCCCGAACTTCACCCTACCCTTTCCCTGTCAGCATTTTCCTTCCTAGTCTGGGGCAACATGTCCAGGTCTCTGTGCCTGTTCATCTGCTTTTCACACATATGTATGCGTCTATAAACTATACATATATAGTATAGAGAGGGTTTTAATGCAGGTTTTAGTGGTACTTCTTTCTCTTTCCCCACTCAACTTTGTTTTTTTAATCTCTCTATGTTAAGAAATATTAACATGATGATCTGCAAACTTTTTCTGTAAAGAATCACTTATGGTCCCTGTTGATAGCCTTTTTTAATATATAACAGCTTTATTGAGATGTAGTGCACACACAAAGAAATTTACCCTTTTAAAGCATACAATTTGGTGGTGTTTAGTATATTGACACAGATGTGCAACTGTCACTATTATCTAATTTAGAAGCTTTTTGTCCTCCAAAAAGAAACTTTGTGCCCATTAGCAGTCACCCCCCATTCCTCTCCCTCACCCCAGGCAATCACGAATCCACTTCCAGTCTCCGTGGAGTTGCCTATACTGGACATTTCACATAAATGAAATCACATACTTTGTGGCCTTTTGTGTCTGGCTGCTCTCACTGAGCATCATGTATTCAAGGTCCATCCATGTTATAGTGTGTGTCAGTGCTTCACTCCTTTTCATAGCTCAATAATATTCCATTGTGTTGAAGGACATTTAGGTAGTTTCCACTTTTTAACTCTTATAGCATTCTGCTGCTATGAACATTTGTGTGCAAGTTCTTGTGTGAAAACCTATTTCATTCCTCTTGGGTGGATACTTAGAAGTGGCATTGCTGGACCATGTAGTCACTTCATGTTTAACTTCTTTTGTTTTTTTAATATATTTTATTGAGTTTTTACAGAGAGGAAAGGAGAGAGATAGTTAGAAACATCGATAAGAGAGAAACATCGACCAGCCGCCTCCTGCACACTCCCCACTGGGGATGTGCCCGCAACCAAGGCACATGCCCCTGACCGGAATCGAACCTGGGACCTTTCAGTCCGCAGGCCGACGCTCCATCCACTGAGCCAAACCGGTTTCGGCATGTTTAACTTTTTTTTCTGTGTTTTTAAATATGAGAAAAACATCGATGAGAGAGAACCATCTATAGGCTGCCTCCAACATGCCCCCTACTGGGGATCAAGCCCACAACCTGGGCATGTGCGCTGATAGGGAATAGAACCAGCGACTTCTCAGTGCATGGGACAATTCTCAACCAACTGAGCCACACTAGCCAGGGCAACCTTTTTTTTAATCCTCATCCAAGGAAATTTTTCATTGATTTTTTTTTTTAGAGAGAAGGAAAGGAAGAGGGAGAGAGAAATATCAATGTGAGAAAGAAGGTTGCCTCCTGCACGCACCCCAACTGGGGATCAAGCCCGCAACCTAGTCATGTGCCCTGACCAGGAATCAAACCCATGACCTTTCAGTGTACGGAATGATGTTCCAGCCAACTGAGCCACACTGCCCCAGGGCCATATTTAGTATTTTGAGGAACTGTATGAGGCTTCTGGTTTCTCCACATCCTCTCCAGTGCCTGTTACTATCTGTCTTTTTGGTTGTAGTCATCCTAGTGGGTATGAAGTGATATCTCATGGTTTTGATTTTCATTTCCTTAATTTTTTAAATATCCCTCTAAATGTATAAAATCCACTTTAGTTTGAAGGCAGAATAGAAAACTGGCCAAAGGTCAGATGTGGGCCCGTAGTTTGTTGACCCTGGTAGTACATGAGAATTAAATGGAGGCTCCCAGGTATTCCCCGCTCCCCCCCCCCCATAGTGGCATCTACCCAGCTAGGGTCCCTTGCTCACCCAGAGGGCTGCCCTATGTTCCAGATCCAGTGTAAGCTGTTTGTCTTTGACAAGACCTCGCAGTCGTGGGTGGAGAGAGGCCGGGGACTGCTGAGACTCAACGACATGGCATCGGCTGACGATGGGACATTACAGTCCCGACTAGGTGAGCTGTGGGAGGGCCTGGATCGGTGCAGAGTTCCCAAGGCAGTAAAGGGCAAGGTCCCAGCTTGGCCCCTTGACCCAAGGAGCAGGGGAGCAGGTCCTCACGGGAGAGCCCAGGTACCCACACCCTGAGGCCTGACCCGGAGGATCCAGCTGCCAGCCCTTCCATGACTTCCCTCTTTCTGAGTGTGAAAGTGAGATAAAAGCATTTAGCAATTTTTAAACTTGTTTTCTGATCATGAAAGTGTCAGTTGTTTTATGGTAGGATGGAAAAACTGCAGTCTCTTGATAAAGAGAAATCTCTGCTAATAACATGTTAGTCCACGCCTGTTCTGTGGGTTTTTTCTTAAGGAAATGGGGCAATTTTATATTCTGTTCTTTTCACTCACTATTTTGCGAACATGTTCCTGTGTCATTAAATTTTCCTTAAAAACATGACTTTGGGAAAGCTAATATATTCTGTTGAAAAATGAATGTATGTCACCATTTCCCTATTGATGGACATGTAGTTTGTCCCTAATTTTTCTGAGTATCATAAATGGTGGTCCTGGGCTGTCTACACATGACTCTTATTCCCAGAAGTATGTTGATTACAAAAATGGATTGAGGGGGTGTATACACATACATATATGCATGTTTGAAGAGAATCAGCATTTCATTTGTCTATGTTGTGAAATATGTATGTTCACTTTTTTGTTGTCTTCCCACACAAAAATTGCCCTCCAGCCTTTACAGAAACAGCTGTTCATGACCCAGTAGTAGCTTACGTTGCATCCTTTCAGAATTGTCTCCGAGACTGGAACAGGGAGGAAAAGGGTCCTTCTGTTTGGGCACCGTTCTTTTCCCCCATGGACGTCCCCTCCATTCCTTTTTCATTTTTTCTTAGGGAAATGTTCAAATGTATGTGGACAGAGAGAGCACAGTATTTGCAGCCCCACAGCTCATCACCCACCTCCTCAGGCGGCAGCATGGTTGCATTACGCCCTCCCCTCCCTCATTGAGATCCTCTTACTTTCACCCCACACAGCCTTTTACCTTGTCACAGACCTTCCCTCTGAGCCCATCTGAACTGCTCCACTGCCTCAAAGATGGACACTTTGGGCTTGCGAGGCCAGGCTTAGAGGACACAAGGAGATTTGGTCAGTTGAGACCCAGGACCCCACAGACCTCCCCAATTTGGCCCAAGCTGCTCCCCGTCCTGTGTGGCCATCTGGACGGGATGACACCTTTTAGTCCTCACCAGGCCTGTTCTAATGGGGAGAGCTAGGCAGGCTGGCTGGCTGGGCTCTGACAAATTGGGCAGGCTGACTATGGCATTGGGTCTGCTGCAGGTAGACCTGGGGGTGTCACATGTATGTCCAGAGAGGAAAGGTCTGTGCCCAGTTTTTCTTTGCCATATGCTTCCTTCACTCTGTCTTTATCTCCTTCCTATTGCAAGCTCTGAGCATAGGTTAGCCTCAGTCCTTTTTCTAAGGAAACCCCAGGGACTTGGCCTGTGAGTGGGGGACAGTGAAGAGGTCTTGACTTTTATGTGACATGTTTCACAAAGTGTGAGTATCAACAATTTCACTAAGCTTCTTCGTGAAGTCACTTCTTTGCTGTTATTTTAGCAATAAAGTTAAACAGAAAGCGCCTCCCTAGTTCTCTTCAGCTCTGCACCCTGGGCGCCAGCCTGGGGCAGGATTGTCCAGGGGGTGGGCCGGGAGCGAGACCCGCAAGCCACCTGGTGCACACAAGCCCCTCCGGGAAGCCCACTGCTGGCGTGAACTTCAGGGAGCGCTGGGCCCAGGCCCACAGTGCCACGGGGCAGAGGTGGCCTCAGAACCTGAAGAACCTTGCAGAGTAGGGAGGGGTGTGTGGTGGGGGCGAAGGACAAAGTTAAATCAAGAAGCAGAAACTTGGAGACCACAGTTTACCTAATTAAGGATGTAAAAGTGCTTTTGTTTTCAAAGGTTATTGTTGGTGAGATTAAAACAATTGAAACTAAAAAATAAAAAAGTGTGAGCGTCCCCTGTGTGCAGCCCACAAATGTCCCTATCTGGCCCTACCTCCCTACATTCTCCTCCTGCTTCTGCCTAATCACCCCCTTCCCCAAGGAAGCCCCCATCCTGGCACACGCTGGCCTCTGACCCCGCCAGTGGCATTGGTGGTTCTGGGCCCAGGAAGCCAGGTGGTGGTGCCAGGCCAGCCCCAGCACGTGTGGCTGTTGCTCAGTGGACAGGTGGGTGACTTTCCCGGACCTTGGGAGAGTCGTGGGATTTCACCGTTGGGGTTTGCTTTCCTTCCAGGTTGTGTCTGTTCTAGCTGGTTGTTGGGCGGCGGGTGGGAACCAGGGCTGAGTGGCCTTGTTGGTTGCAGTGATGCGGACCCAGGGTAGCCTGCGGCTGATCCTCAACACCAAGCTGTGGGCTCAGATGCAGATTGACAAGGCCAGTGAGAAGAGCATTCGCATCACAGCCATGGATACCGAGGACCAGGGCGTGAAGGTCTTTCTGATCTCGGTGAGCAGCCCCCTGACAGGCCGGGCTGCCCAAACCCAAACAGCCCCCTCAGGCCAGGGCAGCAACCCCGAGCTGCCACAGGAGGGAAGCTTCTTGGCACATGCTGGCGGTCACCACAGGGCTGGATCGAGAGGGCCCCTCTGTGGGCGCACTCAGCACTGCTCTGAGAGCATGGCCCTAGAGAGCAGGGAGGCCTCTAGGTGGGCCCCATCCCCCTGACAAAGATGCAGGAAAGCCACTGTCACTTGAGGGCTGACCCTACCACAGCCTCTGGGAGCATTTGGAGGGATGGGCCCTGGGCTGTGGGAGCTTTGGGCTGTGAGCCCAGGGAGCACTTTCCCCATGAAGCCTCATAATCAGGACTTCCTCTGCCTCCCCCAGGCCAGCTCCAAGGACACGGGCCAGCTATATGCTGCCCTGCACCACCGCATCCTGGCCCTGCGCAGCCGCGTGGAGCAGGAACAGGAGACCAGAACACCTGCCCCCGAGCCTGGTGTGGCCCCATCCAATGAAGATGACAGTGACGATGACGACGTCCTAGCTCCGTCAGGGGCCACAGGAGGCGGTGAGCCAGCAGTCCCTGCCCTGGAGGGCGCAAGGGGGCTGGTTTCCTAGATCCCCTCTCATCCATTGCCGTTGGCCCAAGGGTGACATCTTGGTGTGGAAGCCTGACCCCGGGGGCTGGGGTGCCTTCCAGAGTGGGGACCTGATGGCGAGGCCACTGCTTCCCACAGGCGCTGACAACGAAGGGGACGGGCAGACAGCTGGGAGCACATAGCGCCGGGAGCTGGCCACCCAGGAGCCTGCTGCTTTGTCCGTCTGTCCACCCACCCGCCCGCCCCTCTCCGGCTGCGTCGAGGTGCGGGCCCCGGGAACCACACTCCCCGCTGGGTTGGCCACAGTCCGGATCCGCAAGGCCCGTTCAGAAGCAGACTTGGGAGCTGCCTGAATGTGGTTTGGGACACGAGACCTCATCATATTGATGAGCAAAACAAAAAGAACATTTCTTCCCTCCCTCCTTTGAATTGAAATGGCACATTAAGACTTGTCACGGCTTCTCACTGGGACTGGGATGCCTGGTTTCTTCACCCCTCTCATGCCGCCGCCATACCTGTGGGTTTCTGCCACCTGCCCAGGCTACCAGGTCTGCTCCCACAAGTGTAAACACTGGCCCTGCTGGATATTCTGCTAACGACTATCTCTATCTCCCCTTCCCCACCTTCTGATTTGGGGTATATGTTTTTAGGTTTCTTTTACCCCAAGGCGCTTTTTTTTTTTGGTTTCTTAGATTAAGATGCTCCTGCGTATTGAGCAGGCACAGCTCCAATGTCCTCGTTCTCCCTATGGTCATGGCTTGTGGTGCTGGGGCCTTACTGGGGAGCTTGGGGTGCTCTGAGGCTCCCACTTGTTCCCCACCTGGGGCTCCTCCAAGCTATGAAGGGGTGTTGAAGGGTAGGCCTCATACCTAGAGAGAGCTTATCTAGAAAAGGGGCACTGGATCTAGGAGGGTGTGAGGGGGCTGGTTTCTTAGATCCCCTCTCACCCATTCCCGTTGCCCAGAGAGTGGTGTCTTGGTGTGGAGACCTGGCCTTATTGGATGGGGTGCCTTCCAGAGTGGGGACCTGACAGTGAGGCCACTGCTTCCCACAGGAGCTGACAAAGAAGGGGATATGCATAGCACCCCTCCCCTATTGCTTGTCCCCACCATCAGACACCCAGGCACACACCTGCTTTCTACTGTTGGCCATTCCTTGCCCAGCCCTGGATGTCACCATCCCCAAGACCATCCAGGGCCAGGGGCCTCCATAACAGGTAGATGGGATCCCTAAGCAGGGCCTCTGAGGAGTGGCAGGGGACTGGTTCCATACTACAGACTGCTGTCCCAACACTCGCAGCACACACGGGAGCAAGTGCTGTGCCCACCCCAGGGAAGGCCAAGACCCCAGGTGGGCGCCGCCCCCCTTGCAAAGAAGGTCCCTGTTCACAGGGCCCCGGGGGATTTTAGAAGAAATTATCCAGCCCACTCATAGGAAGAAGGCCTGGTCTCCATAGCTGTGCCACCCACACCTTGGGTTGACTGTTTGCAGCCTGAGCCATGGGAAGACACCAAAGCCCTTCCCTCACCACCCCTCCTCCCACCCCCAGCAGATCTGGCTACATTTCTCTGCTTTAAGCCTTAGCCAACTAGTGACAAGTAAAACCAGATAATGCCCATGTGTTTTGGAACATTTATGTAAGATTGTCATATGAAATGTATTTGGGAACTACATTAAAACTTTTAACTAAACCCCTGGCCTCCTGTGTGCCCCAGGGGCCTCAGGAAGCCCGAGGGCCTGGCCAGGAGTGACCTCTGCCTCCCAAGGTAAGGCTCCTCCAGCAGCCTGGCCTGCCTGCTGCCCTGGGCCCCTTCCCCACACTCCATGCCTTCCAACACCTGCCACTTCAGTGCAGAGCCTAGCTTCATAGAAGAGCCATTTGCTTCCCTCCCCATACCCATATCACATCCAGGGGCCTCCTGGCTTCCCAGGAACCATGAAGGAGAGACAGGATGGGAATTCTAACAGAGTCAAGAATTAACTGAGCAGAACAGGGTGACGGGTGGGGGTGGGCATCTACCTTGGCCTAATTCGGGCGCGGAGGGCGGGGGGGTTGGCTCAAACCTGGTCCAACCAGTTCTGCAGCCTCAATCCTGCTCCCCTCCAGCCCCCACCCCTGGGGCTGCCCAGCTGGAAACTGGGTGGGGGGGGGGGGGCCATGGTGGAGTCCTATGCTACAGTGGTGCCAGCTGAGTGCATGCTGCTCACAGTCGCCAGGCGCTGGTCATCATGGCCACAAACTCCTCATCCGTGTCCATGGAAGCGCTCACACCACTGTAATAGTCCTGGAATTCAGCCAGGGTGACCTGGGGGCAGACAGGTTCTAAGTAGGAATGGAAATCTAGGGCAGGAGGAGCTAGGGAGACCCCATAGGCACCTACCTGCCCATCCTTCTCAGAGGAATCAAAGTTGTCCAGGAAGCGGCGGAGCACCTCCTCCTCAGTCCACTCCCCACTCTGCACCTTGGGGTGGGTGTGGCAGCTATACACCCCCCGAAGGTCATCCACGGTCACCACACCATCCCCACTGCGGTCCAGCTTGGAGAATGCAGCTGCAATGACCGCCTGCCGGGCCTGGGACATGGGGGGCTGAAGGAAGGCAAGTGATGACTAAGAGATTCCAACCCCTCCAGGCATAGAGTGCAGAGCGCAGGGGATCCCTGAGTCTCTTAGTGATGAATTCCTGGGTGTCTGGTGTCTGCTGACACAGGTAATCAATCCCACTGAGAGCTCAGCACACACACACCCCCCTCCCCGCCAGACAGCTGGGTGAAGGGACCTGCCCCCAGTCAGCCCAGTCTTACCCGGAGTGCCCTCAGGAACTCCTCCAGGTCCAGCGTCCCACTGCCGTCACGGTCCCATCGCCTGCACACACCCTCTGCCTCAGCCATGTCCAGCGCCAGCCCCAGCTCAGCCAAGCCCTGCTGAAGCTCCCTCGCATCCAGGGATCGGCTCCTGTCCTGGTCCAGGCGGCGGAAAAACCTAGGGGCAAGGGTCACAATTGGAGAGTGATCCGATCCCTGGGACCAAGTGGTCAGGAACAGGTGAGGGGACAGCTCACCTGGCTAGGCCCTGGATGCCAGAGGCCCCTCGGGACAGGCACTGTTCCCGGAGCCTCTCCACAGTGGCGTCCACTGTATCCATGCTAGGTTCAGGCTCTCTGGGCAGCTGGATGAGATAGAGGTTAAGTGGGTTTCCTGCTCGGCTGGCCAGGCTACAAGCTGGGTGCCCCCTACTCACTCACCTGGCCTTGTCTGTCCTGGAGTCCTCAGATGGCCACTCCACTGGCTCCTGCCTGGTTTGTCCTGTGTTGGCAGTGCGTTCTGCCCGGTAGGATTGTTGCTAAGGGACAGTGGCTCTGGAGACTGGGAGGGGCCCCAGCTGTAACCCTGACTGTGCCGAATGGCAGGGCCAGGAGGGACAGAGCAGTGCTGTCATTGGCAGCCCCATGCACCCATTGTGCTGCTCCCGACACTGCAATGTTCAGGCCTGGGATAGAGCCAAGCCCAGACCAGAGTGGGAGGTGGGTGTCTTTCTGACCACAATGAGGGGCAGGCCACAGGTCTGCAAGGACCACCGTGTTGTGGATGGAGGGAGGCTCAAGGCCCAATTCCTATGTGACCTGAGGCAGAGCCCCTCCCCCCTCTGGACTTTACTGACCCCTATCCCTTTTCACAGGGCAGCAGCCAAAGCTGAGGGATTTGAGTTTAAAAGGGCTGGTAGCGGCCCAACCCATGTCCAGTGGGAGGTCCTGAGACCAGTGCTAGCTGAGCCAGGGCACAGCAGAATTAAGTTGGACAAAGTTCCTGGTAGTTGTTGAGAGGCCAGCCATGGTGTTTTTGTTGTATGGGTCTTTTGGTGGTTGGTTTTCAGTTCTCAGACATCACTTGGTGGGCTTGCTCATGACAAGCTGGTGAGCCAGGAGGCTGCGATACCAAACAGAGAAGTGGTCCTGACCCCTGACATAATCCAAGAGGAACCAAGGCCATCATCACAGAAGGCCTTCGATCCAGATTTTGGACATTGTTGCCAACAGAGCATTACACCAACCAGCAGGAACCAAAAGGACATCGGGATTCCCAAGGACTTAAAATGTGGGCCCTCGCCCTGGCTGGTGTTTCTCTGTGGTTAGAGTCGCCCACGAAACGAAGGGTCACGGGTTCGATTACCTGTCAAGGGCACATGCCTGGGTTGCAGGTTCCATCCTGGCCCCAGTTGGGGCATGTACAGGGGGCAACCAATCAATGTGTCTCTCACATCGATGTTTCTCTCCCCCTCCCTCCCTTCTCCTAAGAAAAAAAAATCAATGGAAAAAATATTCTCCAAGGTAGGATTAATAAAAAACAATGAGTCCCCCTTTGGGGACCTCCAGGCTTTGCTCTCTGCACAATGGTATGTGGTCAGGAATTCCTGACCCAGCGCTGCAATTCAAGCCACAGCTGATGTCACAGCTCAGTGGCTTGCTGCAGTCTGGCATTCTTTGGGCAGTCAAAGAAATACTGCATTGTGTTTTTTAATGAGTGTTGCATCGGTCTTTTCCCTATGGAAAACGCAAAGTCTAATCATAGTTAGTATAGTTCTGTTTGACACCTGTAAGAGAATCAGAATTTCAACAGTAACTTTCAAAAATGGGTAGGGGTGGCTGCAAACAAATATTAGACACGTGTGTGTGTGTGTAAAAGTGCCTATGGTACAAGCTCCTGTGACTGCAACAAGCCCCCACCCATCAGGGCCCCACCCTAGACCAGGAACCACACAGTGGCCACCTCTCCAGCCCCCCACACCTGGAAAAAATGAGGAAGGACCAGGCTGACAAATCACCTGTTTATTCTTGAGCTCACACAGGCCCCAGCCTGCCTTCCCTCATACAAACAGTCCCCCTTTCTTATTCATCCAGAGGAGAAAATGGGGATATTGTTATATACCGAGGGGTCAGTGTTAGATGCCAGGCAGACAACAGGCACCATCCTGAGGACGGGATGGGTGCCAACCTTTCTAACTGGAATAGGCCCTGCCCCACAGCAGTTCCCAGTATGACAGTTTCCTGAGTAAGGAGGTGGGAAACGGCGCAGGCTGGGCTGAGAAGAGCACAAGGTTCCCTGGTTTGATAAGCAAAACTCCCTGAATGGCTCTGGCCAAGAGGGCAGTGTAGAAAAAAGGAGTTAAAAAATAGATTCTCTAGGGACTATAAAAAAGGAACCAGCTGCTTACTACAGAAGCTAGACTGGAGGGGTTTTACCTGAAGTGCGGGGGACTCCCAACTCCCTTCAGGGCCCACAGACCCATCCTGTTCCTACAGGGGTATTAGTGTAGAACAAAAGCCCTGCCTTCATGCAGCGTACACTCTGATGGTAAGAGCTTCTATAAAGAAAAAATAGCCCTGGCAGGCTTGGCTCAGTGGATAGAGGCTCGGCCTGTGGACTAAAAGGTCCAGGTTTGATTCCAGTCAAGGGCACATGTCTAGGTTTCGGGCTTAATCCCTAATAGGGGGTGTGCATGAGGCAGCCGATCAATGATTCATCATTGATGTTTCTCTCCTCTCCCTTTTCCTTCCTCTCTAAAATCAATAAAAATATATTTTTAAAGAAAAAAGAAATGCAATGGTAATGGCAGGGGGCGGGGAGGAATTACTTCAGGTAGTCAGGGAAGGCCTTTCTGAGGTGAAATTTGAGCAAAGACCTAAGTGACAAGGAACCTGTCATGTGACACCTGGGGGAAGAGCATTCTAGGCAGAGGGAGCAACCAGTATAAAGGCCTTGAGGCAGCACATTATCAAGAAGAGGTTAAGGGAGGCCTGAGTTTTCTAGGACAGCAGAGCATGGCTGCCAGCATCGCACGTGCCCTACACGCACTGCCTTCTGAGTTAAAGGTTGAAGGAAGGACAGAGTTGGGGGGGAGGAGGGATGTCTAGGATTTGTCTTCAAAATAATACAGAATAGCATAAAGCATGAAGTTCTTAATTCTAGTCTGGGGGCCATGTGGCTCAACTAGAGCGTTGTCCCATGCACCAAAAAGTTGCCGGTTTAATTCCCCTCAGCACATACCTAGGTTGTGGGTTCGATCCCCAGTAGGGTGCATACGGGAAAACCGATTGATGTTTTTCTCTCACATTGGTATTTTGCTGTCTCCCTTCTCCTCTCTCTAGAACATCAATAGGTATGTCCTTGAGTTGGAAAATAATAAAAATAATTCTGGTTTGAGATGTAGTAAGAAAAAGCTCTATCCTGGAATGAAGGATGCTTCAGAATGAAAGAAAATTTGGACGGGGAAAAGAAAAGAAACAATCTAATAATCTGGAACTTGATGCCATCTGCCTCCACCAGAGGTCTCAAACTCATGCTTCGGGGCCTGGACATCCGGCCCTAAGAGAGGTGAAGGGGCTAATTAAAAAACTCACACTGTGGCTAAAGAGGGTATTCTGGGTTCAGTTCCAGGAAGGCATGGGCAAGTCTAAAACCAGAAATCCAGGTTTTTGTGTGTAAATGTTGCCAATTTTTCAATAAGGATAATTGATTCAAGGTTTTGTTTTTTAAAAAATTTGGGCTAAACATTTTCATTTCCCTGCAGGCTGACCATTTGACTTTTTAGCAGGTCTGATGCTTGGAAAATACTATGGCTCTGCCATGAGGTTCCCCCTGGGACACTGGAGACACCCCCACCCTTGAGTACCCCCACAGCAGTGGAAGAAGTCTCCACAGGCACCCTCTGTCTCCATTCTGGGATCTGTGCTCTGGGGCTCACACAGTGGTCCCAAACACTGCTGGCTGGAGGTGGTCCCTGTCCCCTTCCTCCTCAGTGTTGTTGGCAAGGAGCAAACTGGGCGCACCAGGGTCACTGGCTGGTAGGGGACCCAGGCGCTCGGCCTCAGCAAGGGCTGCCAGCAGCCCAACCAGGGGTGGTCGCTGGCGGCATATGTCCTGCAGCAGCTCGGCCCGGGGCTGCAGCTGCCTGATGAGCTTGTCCCTCTGGTGCACGGCCGCCTGCAGGCTGTGGATAGTGGCCTCGGAGGTCAGCAGCTGCTCCTGCAGTGCGGCGATCTCGCTGGCAGGAAGACAGAACTCGGTAGTAACAGTACTGAAGGACCAGAGAGCAGATGTTCCTCTCCCTTCTGATCTCAGGCTCCCCACCATCAGGATAAAGGCCATATTCCTCACCACTGCCTCATGGCCTCCCCTTAAGAACTGAAAGGTTATGCCCTTCCCAAGTTCATACGTTGAATCCCTACATCCCAGTGTGATATTTGAAGGTGGGGGCCTTTGGAAGCTAAGGTTAGATGAGGTCATGAGGGTAGGATCCTCGTGATGGGATTAGTGCTCTTATAAGGAGAGACACCAGACAGCTCTCTCCCTTTCCTTCTCCCTCTCCTCTGTGAGGACACAATAAGATGGCCAAGAAGTCCTTACCAGGAACTGAATTTGCCAGTACTTTGATCTTGGACTTTGCAGCCTCTAGAACAGTGATAAATGTCTATTGTTTAAGCCACCCAGCCTGAATAGACTCATGTCTCCTCCTAGTTCAGTGATGGCGAACCTATGACACGCGTGTCAGAGGTGACACGCAAACTCATTTTTTTGGTTGATTTTTCTGTTAAATGGCATTTAAATATATAAAATAAATATTGAAAATATAAGTCTTTGTTTTACTATGGTTCAAATATCAAAAAAATTTCTATATGTGACACTGCACCAGAGTTAAGTTAGGTTTTTCAAAATGCTGACACGCCGAGCTCAAAAGGTTCACCATCTCTGTGAGGCTGAGTACTGTATTCTTTAGAGATCAGTTAGGACTGTACTGGGGTCCAAAACCCTGCCCTCCTTTTCCTATTTGTTGTTCAGCTTAGTTGGCTCCTCCTCTAGGAAGCATTCCCTCTGGATCCCCTCAGAACCATGTGTGCACCTCCATCACAACCTCTGATCATCCCATGTTGTAACTACCTAGTGATGTGTCTGCCTAAGGGCAGAGCTGTGTAGATGTGCCCTAGTACCCAGCACAGTGTCTGGCACATAGTAGGTGGCTTAGTAAAGATGAATTAATCCATCCAGCTCTGAATTGTTTCTCACCTGGGCCCCAGTATCTCCCCTGTGCACTTGTCTCATCTCTTTCAATTCTCAGGTGCTAGAGGGACTCTTCAAAAACTTCTGATAGTCCTAGCTGGTTTGGCTCAGTGGATAGAGCATGGGCCTGCAGACTGAAGGGGCCCAGGTTCAATTCTGGTTAAGGGCACATGCCCGGGTAGTGGGCTTGATCCCCAGTAGGGGGCGTGCAGGAGGCAGCCAATCAATGTTTCTATTCCTCCCTCTCCCTTCCTCTCTGATATCAATAAAAATATATTTTAAAAAAAAAAACCTTCTGGTAGCTGTAGCTGATTTGGCTCAGTGGATAGAGGATTGGCCCTCGGACTAACAGGTCCTGGGTTCGATTTCAGCCAAGATCAAGGGCACATATCTTGGTTGCAGGCTGAAGCCCCACTGGGGCACCGGCGGGAGGAAACCAGTCGATAGGTCTCTCACATTGATGTTCCTCTCTGTCTCTCCCCCTTCCCTTCCATTCTCTCTAAAAATAAATGGGAAAATATCCTCGGGTGAGGATTCGCAAAAAACAAAACACAAATTTCTGATAGATCACATCCTCTTCTGTTCAAGAACCTGCCATGGCTTCCAAAATCTGCTCAAAGTCGGTGGACTCTGCACCATTCAGTACCAGCTGCTTTTACTTTGTGGGAAACTTTTAATTAAAAACTCCACACACTTGTGTGACATTTCTTTACATGCTGATGGCTAAGTCAAATTTTTTGGGGTTTGTTTTCTCAACCCCTCCGGTAGTACAGCCTCCAGGGAATGAATTCGGTTCCCCTGCCAGCGCTCCCTTCCATATCGGCTCCGCCTCCGCCCACCTCCTAGAAGTTCACCTGGCGGGCCCCGGGCCTCACCGGTCCTTGGCGCGGCCCAGTTCGTCCAGGGCAGCGCGCAGCTGCTC